AAGGTGATAGACACGCAGCAGAAGGTGAAGCTGGCCGACATCCAGATCGAGCAGCTGAGCAAGACGAAGAAGCACGCCCACCTCACCGACACGGAGGTGATGATGCTGGTGGACGAGACCCGCATGTACGAGGGCGTGGGAAGGATGTGAGTACCGGAGGGCCGGGGGGGCCGGGGCGGTGGGAGGCCGCTTCCCCTCGGCTCTGCCCGGCTGCCGTGCGGAGCGAAGGTCCCCCCAGCCTGGGTGCGCCGGGGCAGCTGGGCTGGAGGCCTTTCCCTTTACAAAGAGCCTGCCAGCTTTCTCCCGATGTGTTCGTTTCTTTCCTTTCTCTCACCGTCTTTAAGTTTTAATTCTAGTGATCTGCTTGAGGAGGCAGTGAGATGTGCTAGGCTTTAGCACAGAATGCTTTTTGACCTTTAAAAGTCACCTAGTTGAAACCCCCTTCAGTGACCAGAGGCATCCCCAAGTAGATCAGGTTGCTCAGAGCCCTATTGAGGCTGACCTTGAATATCCCCAGGGGTGGGGCCTCCACCAGCTCTCCTAGCAGCATGTTTCAGTGTTTCCCAACCATCACAGTAAAAAAACTTACTCCTAATGTCTGATCTAAATCCCCCTTGCAGCAGTTTAAAACCATTGCTCCTCATTCTGTTGCTACATGCTCTTGTGAACCATCCTTCCTTAGCCCTTCAGTGGGCCTCTTCAGGCACTGGAAGGGCACCAGAAGGTTTCTGTGGAGCCTTCTCTGGACTGAACAACCCCAACTCTCTCAACCTGGCCTCATAGGAGAGGTGCTCCAGCAGGCAAAACGCACAAAGCCAGTAACATTATAACAGGCCATCTTCAAGGCAGCCAGTAAGTAACCCCAAGAGCTAAAAAACATCCGGATGGGATGTCATCCAGAGTCACCTGGACAAGCTTAAGCGGTGGGCCCATGTGAACCTCAGGAGGTTCACCACAGCCAAGTGCAAGGTCCTGAACCTGGGTCTGGGCAAACCTCATTGGCTGGGGATGATGTGACAGAAAGCAACCTTTTAGAGAAGGGCTTGTGAGTGCTGGTGGATGAAAAGCTGGGCAGGAGCTGGCACCACATGCACCCACAGCCCAGAAGTCAAACTGAATCCTGGGCTGCATTCAAAGAAGCATGGCCAGCAGATGGAGAGAGGTGATCCTGCCACTCTGCCCTGCTCTGGTGAGACCTCACCTGGAGTACTGTGTCCAGCTCTGGAGTCCTCAGCACAGGAACGACACAGACCTGTTGGGGCTGGGCCAGGGGAGGGACACCAAAATACTCCGGAAGTTGCACCAGGGGAGGTTTTGATTGGATACGAGGCAGAATTTCTTTCCTGAAAGAGTGGTGAGGCATTGGGCCAGGCTGCCCAGGGCGGTGCTGGAGTCACCATCTCTGGAGGGGTTTAAAAAAACATGTGGACCTGCTACTTCAGGTCATGGTAGTGCTGGGTGGATGGTTGGACTTGATGATCTTGGAGGTCTTTTCCAACCTCAGTGATTCTCTGATTTCAGCAGCCTCTGGTAGTAGACCATACCAAATCATTTCAAGTCTGAAACATGTGCTGACCTGATAAATATCACACTAGATTTGTGTTTCTGGTTTGAGAGTATGATGATTTTTCTCTTGCGAGCTGGAGAGCAGCGATGCATCTGCTCAGCTCAGGGCATTGTTTTGAGACACGCTGAATCTGCTCTGACTGCTGCTGAAAGGAGTAGCGGTACCAACCTCCTCCCCATCCTGTTTACCCCACCTTCTCTGTGTTGAATTGGGTGATCACAGAGCTGAGTTGTGAGCCACATCAGACCACAAGTGCCCTGAGCCACCAGAGTGTGGGATGAAACGGCAGGCTGGGCAGGCTGGGGATGATGTCGTCTGCCCTTTGCTGCGAGTTTTCAGCTGAAGTTGAAATCAAGCTCATGGAAATGTTCAGTGTGGCAGAGCCCCATCCTTGGCTCCCAGAGAATCGGCTTTTCCATGTTGGTGAATTAAGTGTTGTGTCTGTGTGGGGGTGCTAGTGACTAGTGATAAATTTTGGTCTCTTGGAAGAGGTGACTGATTTGACCTGGACAGGCTGTAGGTGTAGCAAACGCACGTTTGGAATAGTTATGGGACAACTAGTAAGAGTTTCTTCTGTTGGGTTTTGTCCCAGAGTAGACAGATGAAGCGTAGAAGATAATTCTAGAGTCAATATTTTTAAAGCTTTTTTTTTAGGATCCAAACGTACAGACTACTCCTAGGAGAATTCCCAGCATTGCCTTAAGATAATTTAAAAATATTGAGTGTGTTGGTCTTTGTCATTAATTCAGCTTGTGAGTCAGGTGTGGGCAGCTGGTGGTGTTTCAGCACGGGCTGGAACACCTTGTCCTGTTTTCTGCTTCTGCCTCCTGCTTTGATGTAGAACACACTTACCTTCTTTGTGTCCTAAACCATTTACACTTCCCCTGTGTGCAGCAGCTGTGGCAGTGGCAGGTGTCTGGGGAGTCATTCTGCTTCCCTTGCTGTGAGCAGATGGAGTGGCTGAGGCGAGCGTGCGCCCCGGCACCATCAGAAGCGTTGTGATATGCTGTCATTGCATTATGATAGCGTTAAAAGCTGAACTTTTCATGGGCTTCATTGCACTAGTCACTGTGCAAATGTAGGTTAGAAGAGTGCTCATTCACTTATTTATTTTGTTTACTTTTGTTTTCCTGCCTTAGCTGGACCCGTCATGTCTGTGAGCTCTGTTCTGGCTGCGGCGCTGGAGGCTGCCTTGCCCATGGGCAGTCGTGCTCCACTGTGACCTGTCTGTCTTACCCCCTGCCGTGGAGAACATGCCCCAAGGACACGAGCCCACTCCAGGCCCCCGGAGAGAATTTATTACTGAAATCTGGGCTTTTAGCAAAGCAGGTTAAAGCAGCCCTTGAGCAGGAGTTAAAATCCAAGAGCAGTCTGACATCTTGTCTTCCAGTGAAGACCAAAGGAGGTAGATGGGTTCACTGTCTGGCCTCTCCAGGCTGCCATCTTGTCCCATCCCGATCTGTTTCTCATGTGATCTTTGGGATGTGGCTGTCATCTGCTGTGGGTTACAACAACCGCTTGTGCTTCTTTAGTTCAGAAATTATTTTGTGAATATTTCCATCATCAGTGTTAACTCTGATTATTGGTGCTTTTCAGAGAGCTTGCAGCTTGCTTCAATCGCTAAATTCTTTGAAATAAGTTTTATGCTTCTGTTTCTGTTCTCAAATTTTTTTTTTTTTTTTTTTTTTTTTCCCCTCCTGTAACTCATTTAAGCTGCTACTTAGAATCTCTGGCTGCTGATAGTTTGTTTTTTTTCTCCAGCTCTGGTGGTTAGGGTAGTGTGCAGGGGCCTGGTACATACACTTCTGTAGGATAAGATACTCCAGGTCTTCGTGGAATTTGAAGGCTTGTGGATCTGTGGTGATGTGCTGCATCCTGGGAGGAAATCGGCCTTATTTCTGTACTACTTGGAAAGCAGTTGTGTGGTTTTTGTTCTCTGAACCCTATTTTGAGCCTCCTTCCTTTCTGAGAGCCTTCCCCTGCACTGCTCATGCATGTGAAAGTCCATTTGTTGTTCCTCATCTTGGTCTCTTTGTTTTTTTTTTTAAATTTTGTAGTGTGTATAACATGCAGAGTCCTCGCCGGCCTCCACATGTGGGGCTCAGTTTACTTTTGCTTTTTTGGTCTAACACAAGAAATGTCAGTGCCACATAGTATGAGATGACGAATTGCTGCGTACTGTACATATCCATGAGGCTGGGATATCATCTCAACGGTGGCATCTTGCCAGATACATTTCAATTCTGTTACTTCATACTCTTATGAAAGGCCTGTTACGTAGCCTTAGACAACTATCACCGTGCCAGACTTCTGCTTAAGCTATTTGTGAACTGATATCATCATCTTGCTTTAAGAACTATGCTGAAAGTTTAAGCTTCAGAATTCTGTCTGAATATTTCAGACCTTTCCCTTTACATTCTTTTAACCTATAAAATGGACAAAGTCCTTATTTACAGAAGAAAATTGTCTGACACTTGTGCTAGACACAGTGCAGACAGTGCTGTGCTTTTTCATGCCGTGCCAAAATAGATACACAGTTTTGGGTTGATATTGCTTTATCATCAGTTTGCTTCTACAATAAATGGGAGAATGCTTACAAAAACAAAATTTAAGAAACTAAACATCAAGCCAATACTGCAGCATAACTTCATGTTCAAGGTTTTCTGCAAGTAGAGTATGTGTGTTTCAGTTGTCCCCATAAAACGATTGCGTGATGATAGAATTTTCTGGGGATAGCTGTAATGATGTGATTTTGGCTTTTTTTATTTAGGAGCAGTTCAGATTTTTGGTGACTGAACCATACACAAGTGAAACCAGAGAGAGGATTAAACATTCTTGGTCATTTGTGCTGTGATTCTTGGCTTGGTTCGACAGTGAAGAGCCGTGAATCGCCGTGAGCTCTTCTGGAGCCCAGGGCTGGGTGCAGCTGCAGGGGCCACGTTTTCCCTTCGCGTGTGTGTGCACTTCCCACGCACGCTTCCAGAAACTCACAAAGAACTGAAGGACATGCAAGGCTTAATCTTTATGATTCGGTTGCTAACTATAGGCTGGGGTTTGAAATCCAAGTGGCTTCTCTCAGGCCTATCTCCTTTGGCTTGGGCGTTGTTCTCCCCTTGGGCCCAGCTGCCAAGGAGCTGACAGGTGCTGCAGGACTTAAGTGAGTCCCAGGGACAAGGTTGTGGCTACCAGCCTGTGCTCAATGCGTGATTTGTAAACTTGAAGCTCCTCTCTCTAGCTATTGAAAAAGGGAAGATTTTATTTTCTGCAATAAGTCTGGTGTGGCTAGTTGTTTTGCCAGTGACCAGGCCTGACAAAAATGATATCACCAGCAGGAAGAAAATCCAATAGGCAGACTGTATTGTAGACAAAAGCGTTATGACATGAATGACCGCCGGGGGTACAAACAGATCCATCAGCTGGTACGTAATCGATGCCACCCCCACCGATCGACAATAGGCAGAATAAATAAAGAACCAATGCTTCCCATAGATGGAATAGGAAATAGCCAGGTCAAGAGGTTAATCACATAGGACAAAGGTGGCCACATGACCATCTTGCACTCTCCTAGCCCATATTTGC